GGGTGGAGGCGGGAACTGAAGCCGGCGTAAATGCGTTTGCGCCGAAGGAAAGGGGGGCGGCAAAATCGGACGAAATCCCGTAGATATGGAGGAAATGGACTCGCGGATTCGGGATCCCACAAAAAAAATATTCAGGACAACGGGATTTGGAGGATCTATTCGGGGCGGGTTTACGGGCTCTGTCCCGCAAACCGGCGGTTATTATGCGATGGTCCAGTTTGCGGGATCTGCACTAGAGATGCTCTAATCCTCGCGTCTCTCTTCGGACTTCTTCTTCCTCTCCAAGTTGTATCTCTCCTCTCTGATTTCCCATTCCAAACCCTACAAGCTACCTTGTATCCATGAATTCGTGCTATAGACTAGACCTTGAGCAGAGAGTTTTGTACATCACACTCCGCGGCACCTTCTGGCTCGAGATTGCCTTGCTCTGGACACTCTGAGTGGCCACCCTCTACGGCGTCCTCGCCCGCCGCCGTTGGGCTACCACGGTGCCACCACCTCGTTCATGGCCGGCGTCTCCACCCTCACCTCCATGGTAACCCTCATCTCTCGCAGCCTCCCCGCTCTGCTCTAATCTTTTTTCCATGGGTTGAGAACATGTGCGGCCTCTGCTTCGGATCTGCTGATCTGCAGCATGCAGAGGCCAACTCCTTGGATACCAAGTTTTTCACTGTCATCAACATCGGTGACTAGCACATAAATCACTCTGTGATGGTTGACCTTTATCCCCTTTCGACCGCATTGTCTTGATTTCGTTCCTGATAGTGATTGCAATTGTGTGTTTCAGTCCGCAATACTTGGTGAGATACGGGCTCAGGAAGAGCAACGCCGAGACTGCTTCAGCTGTATGCTCCATACGTTGTGTTTGACGTCTAGAGATATCCAAGTGTCGCAAGATGTAAGGTGCTCTCTTTTGACAATTTGTCCAACAGTTGTTGTACCGTCCAACATATCATTCCAACGAGTAAATGCAATTTGCGATGAAGTGGGAAAGCTCCAGCTTCCATAGATACGTACTTAGTACCTAGAATTGCTAAGTGTGAGATTCCTGAACAAATATCTTCATCTCTAGCTTCCAGTTACTTACCAGAGTCACCATGTCAAATAATGGACAACAAGGACCATACTTGACCATTATACAGTCTTCTTCTGATTTGAAATTAACACTTCAGAGCATCAGGTCTGCACGATGCCAACTACGGCAGATAAGGTGATGCATATATTTGTTAAATCCTTCCAGATATCACTCTCACAATCTAACAGAGCTACTGCAGTTTCAGTATGCGGGCAATCTAGTGTAGTGACACGCAATGCCAGCTCAGTTTTTATTTTTCCAGTTGGACCTCAAAAGGCTGAAGCTAATCTGAACCAGAACAGCAAAAAAAATAATCCAGTTGGACCTCAAATGGCCAACGAAGCACTTGAGAGAACCAGATCCACCAACAGATAAATTGATGAATTTGTAAATTTTCCTGGTATCATCATCAAGCAGCCCATAACTAGATTACTGTCTCTTTGCTGACGACGGCAATTCAATGAAAACACGATCAGAAAAGAACCACGCACACAAGTTGAGATTAATCAGGATCTCACAGGGAGATGGCTGGCGACTGTAAATGAATACTTGAAAAGCATCAGATCGCAAGAAGGAATTCTGTTATCGAGAGAACTTTTTGTTACAGGTTTTATAGGAGGGGAATAGCAGGGTGTATGAGTGGAGGACATACTACCAGCAGCGGCAAAACCAACTGACTCCTCTAAATTGGCAAATCTGCTGTTGGATTCTAAGGCTTGTAAAGATGTTAGGGCTTTAAGATCTGCAAGTGCAAAGTCTAATCTCAAAAAAATACTCATCAAAAAATCTTTAGCACCTGCATTCTAGTATCATGTTTCAACAGGCTTTTCCAGGAACGTGCTAGTGTCACATGCAGACCGACAAGCAGTAGATCAATGTCAGGAATATTGGACTTGACTTCAGCTAAATAGAATTTGACTCATGAAACCTGTCATACGTGCGGACATGAAGAGCATAGTCTGCATTAGGCAGAACAAAAAGGGCATGCGGCTGTTTGCGTCTAACTAAAACAGGACCATAGTGCAAGATAAAAGGCTCCAGGAACAAGCGGCTAACAAATAGGGGTAAACGGAACAGTACTCTACTCTGAAACAGAGCCGCCGCTGTCGCCATCTGAGCCGTCGCTGTCGTCATCTGAGCCTCCGCTGTCGCCATCTGAGCCATCGCTGTCGTCATCTGAGCCATAGCTGTCGCCATATGAGCCGCCGCTGTCAACATCTGAGCCATAGCTGTCGCCATATGAGCAGTCGCTGCCATCATCTTCAACAGAGGTTTGCTTGAGCTTAGCTCGTTTGCAGATCCAGCCTGCAGCCTCGAGGTCAGCTCCAGCACTTGCCTCTGAGACTCGGGTTGATATTGCTTGCTCCAGGTCTTCAAGCTGATTTTATTTTTCAAAGATGTCATTGTCCTGAATGAGTTCTTCATACAGTACTACTGTACTCGGTTCATGACTAGGAACCAAGCAGGTAAACACAAACGAAATCTAACTTATTTACCTTCTCCTCCAATGTACTCAGTATTTTGTTAGTAAAAAACTCTATAACCTTGGCTGGAAGGGAATTTTCTGAGCCAACTTCAGTAGCAGATGTATCTCCGCCTTTATCAGCCAACAAAGCTTGACTGGCCTTTTTCAGGTCCTCTACACGTGACATGCACAATGAGATAGCCTTTGCATCTCCAGTCTTGGACTGCAACTCGAAGGCAAAACGTATGTGTAGGTTTCTTGGGTTGAATTAAGGAAACTGAAAAAGGAAGAACAGCTAAAATCTGCAACATACCAGCATTATCAACATCAACAACAACAACAACAACAACAACAACAACAAAGCCTTTAGTCCCAAACAAGCATTACCAAACTGAATTATTCTTTGGTGATCCAAGTTGATGATACCCAGTCACCACATATACACTTCTATGTGTCTTCAGGTAAGTAGAGATACCCGTGCAAGATTTCAATCAGCAAACCAAATAAAAAGCATAGATGGATGATACAATGAAAAGGAGTCCCTCAGGCTTTAGCCACCTAAGTTTCAAGTTAACTAAGATCTACCCCTAACACCCCAGACACACACGCAGGAGGATTCAAGTACTGTAGAAATTGGGTTACAGTTATGATGCTTTACTATGTGACAGACAATTTATACTGTTACTGCCAAAAGAAGGATACTGATTGATAATATGACGATAGTCAGGCTCAAGCAAATGCTCCATGTTGGCCAAAGCTTTGAAGCACGCAATCAGTGAGTAGTTCATGTCTCCTGCAAATAAAATGTGAGGCCATAAGCATCGAGATCATTGAGAAATTAAATGCAGGTGTAACTAAGATGACTGAGGCTACCTCTTTCCACAGAAACTCTAGCAAGAGCAGCAAAGAGTTTATATTTCTCAGTAGTGCTGCCAGGACTCTTCTCAGATATTGGCCTTGCAACATGCAGCATTTTCCAGGCCAGATCCAAATCTGACCAAAAATATTTTATTGGAAAAATCAGAATCATCTTTACATCTAAGTTTTGCTACATTTAGCATGAGAGGAAGAAATGCACTTCGTCAGCAGGTATGAACAGATAAAGAGACAAGGCCGTAAATCATAATCAGTAACATTATCAACTAAATGTATAGAATAACAATGTTTTCAGTGTATAAGACTAAATGGGGAATGTGACATACCCTCTACTATGTCCCTTTCAGTATTACTTTGGGTGGTTGTACTCTTCACTGAATCCTGATTTGGTAGAGGTTTCTGTAGCAAAGCACATCCATAATTGTGATATGCACTGCGACACTTTGGAGAAAGTTTACCATGATGTGCCACCCTGTGTGATAACAAAGGTGTAAGAAGGTACTAAAGGTAATATAATTCGAGGTAGAGCATGGGAATCAGAAGTGACCCACATAATATTCCAGGGAGAAGGTACTAACTGTGTTCAATGTTGATTGCATTTTGTAAGTACAGTAGCTTAGTGCTTGTACAGATCATGGGAGTGCAAGTGTCAAGTAGCGTACAATAAGCTGCAGTCTGATGAAATATTTACATCCAGAGATACTCCAGTTTGACACTAATCACGATTCACACATCATAACATAAGAAGGCCAAGTCAGCTCCCAAGTACAGTTACATAACCACCCTGACCTGATCTGTATAACATTCTAACCGAACTAAACTCATCTCCTAAAATACATAAGCCAATATTGCAAAGCAACTAATCACATACAAAACACTAAGATGAATCCATAAGAGAAACAAACTAACTGGGACATTGTATCCAACAATTCATATGTACGCACGCTTCAGCTAGGCTTTGGAGTAAGAGTGGCAGGTGCCAGGTAGAAAGGAAGAAGCCTAACCTGATCTCAAGGATCCTGCGTTTGCAGTCTTCAGCGCCGACGAAGTCCTCATCCTTAAGGGCTTTGGACCCCTTGGTGAAAAGCTCTTGCACGGCTTTCTCTACCTGCTGCTCCACCTCCTCATCGGCCTCCTCCTCCTTGTCGCCCACTTCCTCCCATCTGCCCTGCTGGGCCACCTCAACGGCTTGATCTGAAAAGAAAAGTGTATGCTGGATTACTATCTCCAACTTGACAGCTCTTTCTTGAGAAAATGCACCATCACCCACACCTTCACATCACCAACAATAATACTTACATTCGTACTAAATGATCAACAAATTGCAGCAGAGATAATATATACTGCAATCTTAAACAGATTTGAAGATGGAAACAATGCTAGCACCTGGAGTGTAGAAGCTTGTGTAGGGAACGATATTGGAATGGATGATGGACATCTTGTTGACTTGGCCTGACTTAAGATCAACCGTTGCGACACCATAGTCTGCCGTCAGATAATAGACACCAGCTCTATCCTCAAAGCCAATCACATGGAGGAATGAGTTAGAAGAGAGCAGCTTGTGGAGGTCAATGACCCTGCTTTCCATCCATGCCACAGCTCCGTCGGGACCAGTCTCCGTCGACCACAGGCAAAGCCGAGATCCCTCCATACTCGCGCATCCCAGCACGCCTTCCTCTGTTTTCATCAGGGCATACTTATAGTGATGGATGGGTGGCCCGTCGAACTTTGACAGTTTCCGGCTGAAGAGGTCGAAGCACAGAATGAAACTCTCATCCGGGTGGTACTCGCAGATGAAGTAGACGGCATTCCCAACAAGGGGCTTGGGCTGGCCTCTCAGGATCTCGACATCAGGGTGGGGGCAAGAGACAACGGGGCTCCAGCTATTCGTCTCCGAAGAGAAGACGGAGGCGTGGGCGCTCCTGTAGTCGGTGCCCACGTAGCCCACGAGGAAGGGGCTGCCATGGCAGCCGAGGTGGTCGCAGTCGTCGGCGGCGCAGACCACCACCCCCACGTCGCAGAGGATGGTGCTGGCGAAATCCAGAGGGGGGAACGACTCCCACTGGCGGCGGCCTACGGGGTCCCACACGATGAGGCTCACGGCGTGGTCATTCTCAGTGATTCGTATAGGGTTACTGAGGAGGACGAGGCCGTGGCGGGAGTCGAGCACGTGGAGGGCGCGGCGGTCGGGGAAGAGCGGGGGGAAGGGGGAGGCGGCGGGGGACGAGGGCGCGAACCACGGCGTGACGGTGTCGTGGTTCTCGAAGAATCCGAGCAGGGGCGGGGTCCGGTGGACCTCGCGGTAGTGGCGGGCGAACTCGGGGCTGGTGAGGAGGGCGCGCCACGCGGTGCAGACGAGCGATGCGCGGAAGAGGCACCCGGGGTCGTCCGGAGGGAGGCGGGTGAGGATGTCCACGAGGAGGTCGCGGCACAGCTCCGGCGGCGGCGGCATGGTGGCCGCCGGTGGAATTTTGCGCTCCGGTGGGGAAATGGGGGAGTCGGGATGGGGGGACTGAAAGAGGAGAGATGGGTGGGAGGGATGGTCACGTGAGCCAACGATAAAACAACAGGTCCACCACGTGAGCCAAACTCCCCTATCCTACTCAGAATATTATCACGTGGATCACTGTGGTTTACGGGCCACAAGGAGATGAGCTTAAAACGAAGTTCAATGAAAATTTAAGGAACCGTATGAGAACCATGGATGGTTTTGGGAGATTTCAACATATGATCTTAAGAGCCTCGGAGAAAAACAATCAAAACCTTAACCAGAACATGATGAATAAGTTTAGGAGCTTCGTTGACAACAACGAGCTCAAAGAACTATATATGTATGGGAGGTGTTTTACTTGATCCAATGAGAGGGAAAACCCCACATTGACTAAGATAGACGGAATATTGGTCTCTGTGGACTCGGAGCTTGCTAGACCTGATTGTTTGCTTCAGGCACTTTCAACAAACGTCTCTGATCATGCCCCTTTGCACCTAACCACCACAACGCCTTTCTGGCCCAAGAAGAGATTCCGGTTTGAGGTTTTCTGGGTGAAGCTTGAGGGGTTTGAGCAAGCGATTAAGGATCTTGGGTGTGCGATCCGGAGATCACGGATCCGTTTTAACGGCTTGACGCGCTGTTCAGGAACACAAGCGAGGCATTACAGTCATGGGGCCAAAGAAAGGTGGGGAACATCAAAGTCTAGATGGTTGTAGCTAACCTGGTGATCCTCCGTCTAGACCGAGCCATGGAGACCAAAGATCTAACGGAGCTTGAGATCTGGCTACGACGCACCTTGAAACTCGCCTTGCTTGGGCTCGCATCTTTGGAGCGTACGATTGAGCGCCAACGGTCTAGATACATATGGATTAGAGAGGGCGACGCCAATACCAAGTTCTTTCAGGCGGTGGCCAACGGTAGAAGAGCCAAAAACTTCATCACGCATGTGCGACATGCAAATGGTATCATCACTGATCAAAGTGGGAAGGAAGAGATCTTTACTCAATCATTCCAGGATACAATTGGTACAACTTCCTTGAGAAACCATACCATTGGCCTTGCCTACTTAGGCGTGGAAGCGCTGGACCTGCATGATCTCGACGAGATCTTCACGGAGGAGGAAGTCTGGTCGACAATTAAGGAGTTACACCCAGATCGTGCGTCGGGGCCTGATGGGTTCATATGAGCTTTTTGATGACCCATAAGTATAGGGGATCGCAACCGTTTTCGAGTGTAGAGTATTCAACCCAAATATATTGATTCGACACAAGGGGAGCCAAAAAATATTCTCAAGTATTAGAAGTTGAGTTGTCAATTTAACCACACCTGGATAACTTAGTATCTGCAGCAAAGTATTTAGTAGCAAAGTAGTATGGAAGTAACGGTAACAGTAGCAAAAGTAAAAGTAGCAGTTTTGTAGTAATTGTAAAAGCAGTAATGGTAAAGTAACTAAGCAAAGAGAAATATGTGAAAAGCTCGTAGGCATTGGATCAGTGATGGATAATTATGTCGGATGCGATTCCTCATGTAATAGTTATAACATAGGGTGACACGGAACTAGCTCCAGTTCATCAATGTAATGTAGGCATGTATTCCAAATATAGTCATACATGCTTATGGAAAAGAACTTGCATGACATCTTTTGTCCTACCCTCCCGTGGCAGCGGGGTCCTATTGGAAACTAAGGGATATTAGGGCCTCCTTTTAATAGAGTACCAGAGCAAAGCATTAACACCTAGTGAATACATGAACTCCTCAAACTACGGTCATCACCGGTAAGTATATCCCGATTATTGTCACTTCGGGGTTAACGGATCATAACACATAAAAGGTGACTATAGACTTGCAAGATAGGATCAAGAACTCACATATATTCATGAAAATATAGGTTCAGATCTGAAATCATGGCACTCGGGCCCTAGTGACAAGCATTAAACATAGCAACATCAATCTCAGAACATAGTGGATACTAGGGATCAAACCCTAACAAAACTAACTCGATTACATGGTAAATCTCATCCAACCCATCACCGTCCAGCAAGCCTACGATGGAATTACTCACGCACGGCGGTGGGCATCATGAAATTTGTGATGGAGGATTTCCCTCTCTGGAGCCCCGAACGGACTCCAGATCAACCCTCCCGAGAGAGTTTAGGGCTTGTCGGCGGCTCCGTATCGTAAAACGTGATGAATCCTTCTCTCCTATTTTTTTCTCCCCGGACGTGAATATATGGAGTTGGAGTTGAGGTCGGTGGAGCTTCAGGGGGCCCACGAGGCAGGGGGCGCCCTCCACCCTCGTGGACAGGGTGTGGGCCCCTTGGTGCTGATTCTTTCGCCAATATTTTTTATTAATTCCAAAAAGTTGCTCCGTGGATTTTCAGGTTATTCCGAGAACTTTTATTTCTGCACAAAAATAACACCATGGCAGTTGTGCTGAAAACAACATCAGTCCGGGTTAGTTCCATTCAAATCATGCAAGTTAGAGTCCAAAACAAGGGCAAAAGTGTTTGGAAAAGTAGATACGATAGAGATGTATCAACTCCCCCAAGCTTAAACCTTTGCTTGTCCTCAAACAATTCAGTTGATAAACTGGAAGTGATAAAGAAAAACTTTTACAAACTCTGTTTGCTCTTGTCGTTGCAAATATGTAAAGCCAGCATTCAAGTTTTCAGCAAAGATTATCAACTAACCATATTCACAATAACACTTAGGTCTCATGTTTACTCATATCAATGGCATAATCAACTAGCGAGCAATAATAATAAATCTCGGATGACAACACTTTCTCAAACAATCATAATATGATATAACAAGATGGTATCTTGCTAGCCCTTTCTAAGACCGCAAAACATAAATGCAGAGCACCTTTGAGAATCAAGGACTGACTAAACATTGTAATTCATGGTAAAAGAGATCCAGTCATAGGCATTCCCAATATAAATTAATAGTAATGCATGCAAATGACAGCGGTGCTCTCCAGCGGGTGCCTTTTAATAAGAGGGTGATGGCTCAACATAAAAGTAAATAGATGGGCCCTTCGCAGAGGGAAGCAGGGATTTGTAGAGGTGCCAGAGCTCGATTTTGAAATAGAGATAAATAATATTTTGGGTGGCATACTTTCATTGTCAACATAACAACCAAGAGATCTCGATATCTTCCATGCTACACACATTATAGGAGGTTCCCAAACAGAATGGTAAAGTTTATACTCCCCCTCAACCAACAAGCATCAATCCATGGCTTGCTCAAAACAACGGGTGCCTCCAACTAACAACAATCCTGGGGGAGTTTTGTTTGCAATTATTTTGATTTGATTTAAGCATGGGACTGGGCATCCCGATGACCATCCATTTTCTTGTCAATGAGGAGCGGAGTCCACTCCTCTTGAGAATAACCCGCCTAGCATGGAAGATATAGACAACCCTAGTTGATACATGAGCTGTTCGAGCATACAAAACATAATTTCATTTGAAGGTTTGGAGTTTGGCACATACAAATTTACTTGGAACAGCAGGTAGATACCGCATATAGGAAGGTATGGTGGACTCATATGGAATAACTTTGGGGTTTATGGAATTTGGATGCACAAGCAGTATTCCCGCTTAGTACAAGTGTAGGCTAGAAAGAGACTGGGAAGCGACCAACTAGAGAGCGACAACAGTCATGAACATGCATTAAAACTAATCAACACCGAGTGCAAGCATGAGTAGGATATAATACACCATGAACATAAATATCATGAAGGCTATGTTGATTTTGTTTCAACTACATGTGTGAACATGTGCCAAGTCAAGTCACTCGAATCATTCAAAGGAGGATACCACCCTATCATACCACATCACAACCAGTTTAATAGCATGTTGGCACGCAAGGTAAACCATTATAAACTCCTAGCTAATTAAGCATGGCATAAGCATCTACGATCTCTAATTGTCATTGCAAACATGTTTATTCATAATAGGCTGAATCAGGAACGATGAACTAATCATATTTACAAAAACAAGAGAGGTCAAGTTCATACCAGCTTCTCTCGTCTCAATCAGTCTATCATATATCGTCATTATTGTCTTTCACTTGCACGACCGAACGGTGTGGATAATAATAATAGTGCACGTGCATTGGACTAAGCTGGAATCTGCGAGCATTCAATTCAAAAGAGAGGACAAGGTAATATGGGCTCATGGTTAAATCAACAATAATGCATATAAGAGCCACTCAACATTTTCATTATGGTCTTCTCCTCTCGATCCCCAAAGAAAAGAAATAAAACTATTTACACGAGAAAGCTCCCAACAAGCAAAAGAAGAACGAGAAATCTTTTTGGTTTTTTTTAATTACTACTACAAGCATGGAAAGTAAACTAACTAATTTTTTTGGTTTTCTTAAGGTTATTCAAACACACAAGAAGAATGCGAGAAAAAGAAAATAAACTAGCATGGATAGTACAATGAAAAAGTATGAGCACCAACAACTAAGATGGGTGTGTGAACATGAATGTAATGTCAGTGAGAAATACGTACTCCCCCAAGCTTAGGCTTTTGGCCTAAGTTGTTCTATGGCCATGGATCGAAGCTACTCTCTCCGGTGTACTAAGGAGTGTCATCTGATTGCCGCTGGCTGGCGATCTCCTTCGGATCCCACTAATAAAAGGACTGTTGATAAGGGTCAAGTGGTGGTTCCAGCTCAGGTTCTGGAGCTGATGTCTGGCCTTGGTACTCATAAACGGCCTCCGGCAGGACAAGAAACGTGCCTGAAGATAAGTCAAACAAAGAGGGTGCAGGCAAGATAATAGTCTCACTGTGAGTTTTATGAAATCTCAAATTATACTTAAGCATCTTCTCATCATTTTTAACAATAAACTCATGTGCTACCATACTCTTATAATCTAGAAAAGTAGGGGGAGCATCTTTTCCTCTTTCTCATAATGCCTAATAGGTATCCTGAAGTGTTTAGCAAGGCGT